TTGGAAACATTTGTCACTTTTTACCTCTTTTTTTCAGGTTTCTGTCTGTGAGTCTGATTTTCTTTATGAACCACGAGTCTCTTGAGGGCACGATCTGTGTTCTGATCATCTGTGTATATGTCTCCATGATATTTCAGTCTAAGTAAAGTAAAAAAAAAATTATGGATTATGAATCAATGTGATTACGATTTTTCAGGCTGTAAATGTTAGTTCCCTCTAGAGACACGTGGGGGCGCCTTAACCAAGCAAAATGATGTAAATTCTTACAGATGGATTCCTTTTAAAACTGTTTGCTATTTCTTTTTATTCAAGTATAGTTGATTTACAATGTTGTGTTAATCTCTGCTATAGAGCAAAGTGATTCAGATATATATGCACATATATTCCATAATCATTGGAAAAAACCGTGATGCTGGGAAAGATTGAAGGCAGGAGGAGAAGGGGATGACAGAGAATGAGATAGTTGGATGGCATCATGGACTCGATGGACATGACTTTGAGCAAGCTCTGGGAGTTGGTGATGGACAGGGAAAACTGGCGTGCTGCAGTCCATGGGGTCTCAAAGAGCTGGACACGACTCAGTGACTGAACTGATATGCACATATTCTTTTTTAAAAATATTTTTTTTTATTATGGCTTCTCATAGGATATTGAATATAGTTTTCTGTGTTATACAGTAGGGCCCTGCTTTTTTTTTTTATTATCCATTCTCTAAATAATAGTTTGCATCTGCTAATTCCAAGCTCCCACTCCATCCCACCACACTACTCCTTGACGACCACAAGTCTGTTCTCTGTACCCATAATTCGGTGTTTCTAAACTATTTGATTAAGAAAGTTGACCGCCGAAGAATTGATGCTTTTGAACTGTGGTGTTGGAGAAGACTCTTGAGAGTCCCTTGGACTGCAAGGAGATCAAATCAGTCAATCCTAAAGGAAGTCAGTCCTGAATATTCATTGGAAGGACTGATGCTGAAACTCCAATCCTTTGGCCACTTGATGAGAAGAACTGACTCCTTGGAAAAGACCCTGATGCTGGAAAAGATTGAAGGCGGGAGGAGAAGGGGACGACAGAGGATGAGATAGTTGGATGGTATCACTGACTTGATGGACATGAGTTTGAGCGAGCTCTGGGAGTTGGTGATGGACAGGGAGGCCTGGCGTGCTGCAGTCCGTGGGGTTGCAAAAAGTCGGATACGACTGAGCGACTGAACTGAACTGAAACTATTTGATAGATGATGGAGCCCCTTCTGAATTCTGTCTCACTGATCATCATGTTGACTGAGTGTGGATGACAAGAAAGAAATGTAAGAAATGATTTAGTGGGTAAAGCCAGAGAGTTAATAAATCAAATCCAAAGGTTGCGTCTGGTCAGAGAGACAAGGCAAAACATAGCACCTGCTTCTCTGAATGAGGGGCCCTATGATCACAGACTATGAATATGACATTGATATCATGGACCTCCAAGTAAAGAATGGCTGGGGGTTGTGTTATGGAATGAATTGCGCCCTGTGGAAATTCCTATGTTGAAGCCCCAACTCCCAGTGGAGTGGTATTAGGAAATGGGGAACTTCGAAGGTTTTAGGTTCACATGAGGTCACGAGGGAGGGGCCCTGTGGTGGGACCTGCACCCTTAAAAGTAGAGAGACCAGAACTGTCTCTCTGCTGTGTGTGGAGACAGTAAGAAGGTGGCTGTCTGCAAGATAGCTGGCCACGCTGGCCCACTGATCTCCAGCTTCCAGCCTCCAGAACTGTAGGAAAATAAGTCTGCTGTTGAACCCCCTAGTCTACAGGGTTTTGTAGGCATCCCAGGCTGATGCAGGCAGACTGTGTGAATGGGAGGGGCTGCCTTTCAAGCTCTTTTTCTTGTCAAGGAAAACTCAATAGATAAGAAAGTGTTGAAACGTAAGTCAGGATTAAACAATGGGATTTCAAGCTCCTATCAGATCCTCTGATTTTATTTTCTTAAAGTATATGTGGTGTTTTGAATACTTATCTTGCTTGTCATACAGAAGCACTGTTAGCCTTTGCTTTCCTAACAGGCATATTGGTGTCAAATCTCTTTTGTTAGTTTGTTTAGACCAGAATTTTATTTTGATTAATATTTTTGAATGTAATCCATCCCATTTTTTTTTTTTTTGGTGGTGCCATGCATCTTATGGGATATTAGTTCTCCTACCGGGGATCAGACCCAGGCCACCTGCAGTGGAAGCATGGAGTTCTAACAACTGGACCACCATGGAACTCCCAATGCTTTCCATCCTTAATGTTGAGACATTATGTGGGAAATGGGCTCTGAGAGCTTTGTTACGTTTTCTTTCTTTCTTTTTTTGCTATTGGTCTAAATGTGCAAAGCGTTAATTATAATTGATCGAGTTGTCTGTACAACAATAGCCATAGAAACTGCCATCCAGGGCACTGGACAGGCCTGGCTTTACATGTGTCAGACCATTGCTTTCCTGATTCCTCCTCACTACCCTGTGTTACTGTAAGACTTCACATTTTTTAAATTTACATGTTTGTTTATTTGAATAAACTGAATTTGAATTAGATGGATATATTGGTAGAGCTCAAAGGTACAATTTAAGGTGGTTTTCAAGCTGAAATGGGGCTTTCCCAGTGGCTCAGCAGGCAAAGACTCTGCCTGTGATGCAGGAGACACAGTAGATTCAGGTTCGATCCCTGGGTCAGGAAGATCCCCTGAATAAGGAAATGGCATCCTAGTCCAGTATTCCCTGGAAAATCCCATGGACAGAGGAGCCTGGCAGGCTATAGTCCAAAGGGTGGCAAAGAGTCAGACACGACTGAGCAACTAAGCAGGCATAAGCTGAAATAGAAACCCTTCCTTTCTGTCCTCCAGCCCTCCTCCCCACTCCTCCACCCTCCCCAGTGGGCTGGCTATTGAGTGCCTGTCTCTGTGTGTGGGTGTCTGTGTATAATTACACGCTGCACAAAGACGGGGCTGAGTTTCACATCTTGGTCAACTGGGTGTAGCCATGATAACATAAGTGTCTTCTCCCTCATCCTTCTCCTTGGGAACCACAGGAATCTCAGGGAAGGCTCTGAACTTCCATATGCATAGACCTGCTGAGGGGGTACTGAACCCATGATCTTCAGAAGTAGAGAGGTCTCAGTTTATAGCTACATCACAGATCTTTTCTAAATGTGTGTGTTTCATAACATATCATATAAACTTAGAATAATACAGTGTAATGTTTTACAGCCTGCTTTCCCCCCTAATAAATTGTAAATACTTACATGATGCTGAATATTCTACAAACGATTTGAATGGCAGCATGCTATTTTATTCTATTTTTTAAAAATTGCTGCTATAAGCCCATCTGTTTATTTATTTGCTTGTTTATTTTATTGGGGGTACAGTTGTTTCTACAATGTTGTGTTAGTTTTTGCTGTCCAACAAAGTCAGTCAGGTATTTGCAGACATATAGCCCCTTCCTTTTGGACCTCCCTCCATCCCCCACCATCCCATCCCTCTAGTTCATCACAGAGCACCGAGTTGAGCTCCCTGCACTATATAGCGGCTTCCCACTATCTATCTGTTTTATACAACAGCATGCTATTTTATAATACTGCCTTACCATAATTTATTTAACCATTCAGCTCTTAACCGACATTTAAATTGTTCCTAATTTTTAATATGATAAGTAATATCACAATAAGCAACCTTTTGCATAAGTTTTTCTGCACACCTCTGGTATTTCTCTAGGATGAATTCCTAGAAGCAGAGTTGCTGGACCAAAAGATAAGAACATATCTGATGGGCTCTGGTACTTGTTGCAAAATTGTCCTCCAAAAGTGTGGTTCCTTTGGTCTCAAGTATTTTAAAGAGAAAAGGTCTAGGACCTAGGATCAGACTTAGTAATCATCTATTGATATGGTTTCCCTTGTGGCTCAGCTGATAAAGAATCCGCCTGCAATGGAGGAGACCCCAGTTTGATTTCTGGGTCAGGAAGATCCCCGGGAGAAGGGATAGGCTACCCACTCCAGTATTCTTGGGCTTTCTTGGTGGCTCAGCTAGTAAAGAATCTGACTGCAATGCGGGAGAGATCCCTGGGTTGGGAAGATCCCTTGGAGAAAGAAACGACTACCCACTTCAGTGTTCTGGCCTAGAGAATTCCATGGATTCGCAAAGAGTCGGACATGACTGAGTGACTTTCACTTTCATCAATATGGTTATTTTCTTCAGGGAGATTAAAATCCCCATTGGATATCTCACATGGTATATGTACATGCAGCTGTATCTGTTGACAAGTTTTTTGGATAAAGACTTCCTTTGCATTCATGACAATGGAGGGAAATGTGGCTGAGATGGGGCTGGGCAGAGGGTGCATGAGGAAATCTTAAGAGTCACTGCAACTTTGCTATGTTTCTAACGGTTCCAGACAGTTCACAGATTGATTAGCAAAAACTCCAGAGAAAGACCCAAATGTTAAAACTTTGAATTTAGATTACCATTGATTTAAGAAACAGAAGTTTATGAAATGCCCATTTCCATAAGTAGGCTATCTCAGTAAGTCATGCCATGCCCCTTTGGAGCAAAAGTGGGGTGGTCCTCCTGGCCCACCAAGCATCCTCTCCCCTGTTCTCATCTCATGAGAAAGGAATCTCCTTCTCCTTGTCTGCACTGCCTTAGACACAAAGGAAATGCCTCTGACATCCTGCAGTCAGATATTGTTGTTTAGTCGCTCAGTTGTGTCTGACTCTTTGCAACCGCATGAACTGTATAGCTCGCCAGGCTTCTCTGTCCATGGGATTCTCTAGCAAGAATACTGAAATGGGTTGCCATTTCCTCCTGCAGGGGATCTTCCCTACCCAGGGATTGAACCTGCATCTCCTGCTTAGCAGGCAGATTCTTTATCACTGAGTCAACTGGGAAGCCCTGCAGTCAGATAAGCACCCTTGGTTTTCTTCTGTTTTGTAAAAATGTTGTTCACACCCATCTGTTGGCTTTTGTCCTTATCCTCCCCTCCCCTTGCTGACTTGCCGCCATTGCCACTTCCATCACCCCGTTATTGACGGCTCCCAACGTTCACAGCCTGGTGTAAAAGGAAAGAACTGAGTCAGGAATCAAGCCATCCAGGTTCTACTAATCCTTGTCTACTAATCTATCAAATGAAAGCCTGAAGCTAACTAGGGTTGTTTAAGAAAACCCAGAGCTAGACTGACTCTGGTTAAAGCAGCAAAACCATATTTTATTGAGAATTATTGCAACAGAGAAGAAAGACCTGAATGTAGAACCAGACAAATCCAGCATTAACAGTGGGAGTGGGTGGAGTAAGTGGATGGATTCCTAAGAAAAAACACCAGGGGAAGGGGGGATTCTGACTAACCTGCCCCAACAGGATTCTTGCTGAGGGCAGGACAGGGTGATCAAATATCGCCAGGGAGTGGTAGAAGATGAGGAACCTGATCAATATTGAGGGTCATCAGATATGGAGGGTTGGGAGTCTAGCTAAACCAAATCAGCAGTATTTTTGCTAAAATCAGACAACCCAGAGATGAAGATGGATGTCCTAAAAGTGAGGCCTGAAAAAGTTCAGGGAGCCTGCGTAGGGTTTTATCAAGAAGAGATCTTTGTCAGGATGTTTTCAAACAGTCCTGAGAAGCCCCAGGGGTCCTGAGGAGGGGATTTAGGATTGTGGGTTGCAAGAAGGTGGGGCTGAAGGCCCCGAGCAGACAGACCAGCCTCACCGCCAGCCCAGCAGTTCCTCTCTTACCTTGCTGATCTGTTGGGCTCTAGCCAAAATTCCTGTTTGTGTTGTCAGTAGAACCCTTTCTTCAAACTTAGAAGAACATTAAACCAAAAGGTGTGTGAAGACCCTTCCAGATACATGTTTATAGGACTTGAAGTCAGCCTCCAGCCATTTAAGCACTTTTCTTTCTAACAGACATCTCAGGGAAATTTGCATGAAAGGAAGGGAGGCTTTTTGTGAGTTACGGAAACTCACAATGCTCAGAGTGCCCCTTCCTTCTGTCAGCAGCATCTCCTTCAAGGACACACCCTTCTTAAGCACATTAATACAACCAGACCCAAAACATCTGAGCGCATCTCTCCCGCTTCCCAGAGATGAGTATTCGTTGCTCCTGACTTGCGTTTTAGGGCATCTGTCCTCTGTGGGAGGCCCTGATTATTCATCCATTTCCACAACACATGCTGTAGTATGATTAGAGCCTGTTCTGCAGAAGAGGAAACTGGGGCACAGAAGGAGTGAACGACTGACCTCAAATAGCACGGATTGTCTCTCAGGGGGAGAGAATCAGGGCTGGCGCTTCCCCAAATCAGTTCCCTTCCTGCTAAATGCCATCCTGCTCATTTCTCTTTTCTGATCTCTTGATGGCACCCAGAGTGCTTCTGTCTTTTGATTTTACTCGTCTGGGAAGCCAGCCCATCACAGCTTGGCTGCAGCACACAAGGGGGCAGCCTCTAGGCTGGGAGGGCAGGGCTCAGAGCTGAAAGACACCCCTCCCTGGCATGCTTGGGAGAGTGACAACACCTTTCCTGTGCGGTTGGGTCATAGGAGATGGTCAGTGGGGTCTGACCATGTTGCTCCACCTTTACCCCTTGTTTTTGTTGCCATGGGGACAGTCATGGGCTGTGGTAAGAAGATATCACAGAATATTCTGGAGGCAACCTAGATGTTGATTGCATCTCAAATAACATTTAAACTCATCGTCATCAGTCATGACCTAAAAGTCCAGTCATTTGCAAGAGTTTTTTTTTTTTTTAAGTTAATAGATTTTACAGTTCCAAAAGTTTAACTTTCAATCAAGAGGGAAAGTCCAAAGAACTCAACAAAGGTTTTATCATAAGAGCACCCCCAAAGGTTTTCATTTTGTGGCATACAGAGAAAATACTAATACCGTATTCATACAGTATACTGGCAAAGCCACCGGCCACCAACTCAGGGTGACCACCTCAAGGAAGGTCAACTCAGTCTACCTTGCAGTCCAACTGACCACCTAGAGACTGAAGGGATCCACATCTAATCCCACCTGTAAAGAAAAGAATGTTGCCCATCATTCAAATTCTGTAAGGATCAAGCCATCAGCCACTGCAGGGCCTCCTGGGAGGAACTGAGTTTGGCAAAGCCCAGGAAGCATTCTGTGCTTGGGAGACACATCCTTAGATGGATAAGATGCATATTCAAGGAAAAACTTCAGTAACTGTGGATTCTTGCATCTTCCCATATAGAGAAAAGCACTAGAATCATTAACTTGAGATATCTGTGTGTGTGTGTGTGTGTGTGTGTGTGTGTGTGTATGTGTGTGCACATGAGCATGCAATTAGCAGTTATCTTTTACCAGGATGTATGCTTGACTACACGTATTTCCCAGCCAGAAAAAAATTGAATACATCCTGGCTCCTCACCTATCTCTACAGAGCAGTTCCTCAGAGCTGTCTGAGAGGCTTGTCTCCTGGGCTATCAGTTCAGTTCCTCAGTCATGTTCGACTCTTTGCAATCCCATGAATCACAGCACCCCAGGCCTCCCCGTCCATCACCAACTCCCGGAGTTTACTCAAACTCATGCCCATCGNTCATGATGTACTCTGTATATAAGTTAAATAAGCAGGGTGACAATATACAGCCTTGACATACTCTTTTCCCTATTTGGAACCAGTCTGTTGTTCTATGTCCAGTTCTAACTGTAGCTTCTTGACCTGCATAAAGACTTCTCAAAAGGCAGGTCAGGTGGCATGGTATTCCTATCTCTTTAAGACCTTTCCACAGTTTATTGTGATCCACACAATCAAAAGCTTTGGCATAGTCAATAAAGCAGAAATAGATATTTTTCTGGAACTCTCTTGCTTTTTCAATGATCCAGCAGATATTGGCAATATGATCTCTGGTTCCTCTGCCTTTTCTAAAACAAGCTTGAACATCTGGAAGTTCATGTTTCACGTATTGCTGAAGCCTGGCTTGGAGAATTTGGAGCATTACTTTACTAGCATGTGAGAAGAGTGCAATTGTGTGGTAGTCTGAATATTCTTTGGGATTGCCTTTCTTTGGGATTGGAATGAAAACTGACTTTTTCCAGTACTGTGGCCACTGCTGAGTTTTCCAAATTTGCTGACATATTGGGTGCATCACTTTCACAGCATCATCTTTTAGGATTTTAAATAGCTCAACTGGAATTCCATCACCTCCCACTAGCTTTGTTTGTAACGATGCTTCCCAAGGCCCACTTGATTTCACTTTCCTGGATGTCTGGCTCTAGGTGAGTGATTACACCATCGTGATTATCTGGTTCATGAAGATCTATTTTGTACAGTTCTTCTGTATATTCTTTCTTTTCACCTCTTCTTAGTATCTTCTGCTTCCATTAGGTCCATACCATTTCTGTTCTTTATCGAACTCATCTTTGCATGACATGTTCCCTTGGGATCTCTAATTTTCTTGAAGAGATCTCTAGTCTTTCCCATTCTGTTGTTTTCCTCTATTTCTTTTCATTGATTGCTGAGAAAGGCTTTCTTATCTCTCCTGGCTATTCTTTGGAACTCTGCATTCAAATGGGAATATCTATCCTTTTCTCCTTAGCTTTTTGCTTCTGTCTTTTCACAGATATAGTCTTCAGTAAGGTCCCCAAACAAAACTTAACTCACAACCTCTACACTGTGCATTTTTATCTCAGCTGATGCACCATCCTGGTTACTACTCAGCATAGGGAAGGTCTGCCAGATAAACAAGAGTTGGGGAAAATCACAATAATGTGACAGTAAATATTTCCCATAAAAATAACATTGAGATAGCAAAGAAGGGAGTGAGACCCTGATGTGGATACCCTGAATGGGGCTTTCTCTGGGGAGGAGGGATGGTCTTGAAGGTACTGGAAATAAATTTTTAAATCTTCAAGATAGGACCATGAAGGGATACCACCCCACATCCACTAAGATGGCTACTATATAAAAGAAAATAACAAGTGTTGATGAGAATGTGGAGAAATTGGAACCACTGTGCACTGTTGGTGGGAATGTAAAATGATGCAACAAGTATGGAAAACAGTATGGAAGTTCCTCAAAAAGTTAAACTAGAACTACCCTATGATCCAGCAATTGTATTTCTGGAAGTACACCCAGAAGAATTGTGAGCAGAGACTTGAAGAGTTATTTGTACACCACATTCATAGCAGCATTATTCTTAATAGCCAAAAGGTGGTAACAAACCAAGTGTCCTTTGGCAGATGAATAGATGAGCAAAATGTCTTATATACATTCAGTGCAATATTATTCAGCCTTAAAAAGGAAAAAAAATTCTGGCACATGCTATAATATGGATGGACACAATGTCCTCAAAAGGACATTATGCAAAGTGAAATCAGCCAGTCCCTAAAAGACAAATACTGCACAATTCCACTTATAAGAGACACCAAGAGTAGTCAGATTCATAGAGACAGAAACTAGCATGAGGATTGCCAGGGCTGGGGGAAGAAGGTGAGAGAACAAGTTGTTTAAAGGGTGTTGAGTTTCAATTTTGCAACAGGACAAGAGTTCTGGGATGGATAGTTTCAAAACAGTATGTGCTTAATTCCACTGAACTGTACACTTAGAAATGGTTAATAACCTTTTTCAAGAATATTCTTTTCTAATTTTAATTTTTTGGCTGTGTAGTATGTGGGATCCTAGTTCCCCAATCAGGGATCAAACTCATGCCCCCTGCATTGGAAGCACAGAGTCTTAACTGCTAGACCTCCAGGGAAGTCCCTAACTAAGACAGTCAACTTTATGTTACATGTATTTCAGGACAACTTAAGAAAAAATCAACAAGTAGGATTAAAAAAAAAAAGAAAATCAAGATAGATTTTGGGAGGATCTCAAAGAGAAAAGGCTTGTGTCTTAATTTTCTAGAAAAGCACCAGAAGGCTACAAGCCTTGGAGAGGAGTCACTTTGCTAAAGCAAGTGACATCTCTGCAGAAGCTCGTAGGACAGAAAGTGGCCTCTCTCTATCCCCCTACGTCTTCTGGCCAAAGGAGAAGCCGGGGAAGGAAACTTG